CGCATCCTAGAAGCAACAAACAGATAGACATCAACAACTTGAACATTCCAAACATGTCTCAACCAAGTCTCAAGGTCTATATAAGGGTGAGCCTTCGCCCTCAAAAGGTACGCTTACACATATATGCAAACATATACACTTGCTTTCCTGCTTGCCTATCTATTCACCACCTCGGAGAGTTCGGCCAATATTGACTTGAGTGTCAGAGACCCTTGCCTGAGACATCCACCCAGGTTCTTTGACTTCATTCTTTTTTTAGATCAACTATCATAGTTGGTGTTCGAGCTCCAAGTTGTCTCTACCAATAGGGATCACGAACTTTTGATCATCATCAGATACAAAGCTCATAATGTATGAAGACATGAAGGTTGTACCATCCCATAAAAATGACTCTTTTCTTAGATGAGCGTTCAATATTTTAATGGTACTCTCACTTTGTGCACTTTGGACTATGTTTATGTACAGTATTAAGTTCACCAATAAGATACTGGATAGGCATGAAATAGGCTACGCAATTGGAGAAGTAGTGATTTATTGAAATTATATAATAACGAAACTGAAGAGAATCCACCCTAATAAGCACGTGGGTCATTCCCATCTGTTCCATTATTGTATGGAGATGGAGGTTTAGAGTTAAAATCCATGTCACAAATTCCAGAATTTTCAGTTACTTTGTAAAATTTTAGAATCAGTTAAATGCTTCTCAGTTCTTACATTTCACTTTCTCACTGATATGCATGTCAAAAGAATCATTCAGCCTAAAAACCTTAAGTTGTTATGTCATTAAATGGGTTTTTATTCTCTATTATGCCCTTCACACGAAAGTTCATTGGACTTAAGCATGGACAAGGACAGGCTCACCTATATCTTGTAGTAAAATTTAGGCTATGTTTTGCATGTCTTTCTGAGTGGTTTTTCGGTTGTTTATAAGTTGGGAAGACCGATTTTTGGTTTATTTCTGTTTGGCGTGGGAAAGATCTAGCCGCCAAAAGATGGAATGCTGAAAAGATGCGAAAAGCCTATTTTGGGCTGATTTCGGAAAGCTCCAAATGAAGCTTTTCACGATTTTGGCGTTTTATTCTCATGCAAAAAGACGCACGGAAAGATGTGCATCCGCCATACATACTTCAGGTTACTCAGATCTTAATGTAAAAGCTCAATGCATCTTTTAATTGTCAAAACTACCAAAAGATCTTTCCAAAAAAACACACCAAACAAGACTCTAATACTAGAATGGGGTGAAAATCAAATTAATACTAGACTATTAGGTTAGGTTCTTAGATAGGCTTTGATATCATGTCAAACATCCATTCATCTTAAAATCTTAAGCTGTTAGATGAGGTTAGTGAATAGGTTTTTATTCTCAAATAGTATAAAATGTGTTAAATAATATATTTTTCGATAAATAAAATGTGTTAAATAACATCCTTTTATAAATTTATTTTGTACTATTTTACTCTGTCTGTTCTCTTCTCAATTCTGACGTCAGCACGCCTCCCTCTCATCTGCATGTACAAGAAAAGAATGACACTTTATAATTAATATTATATTTTATGCGGTTCCACTATTATTATTATTTTTTTGAGCGGTTCCACTATTATGTGTGTGTATATATGTATTGCATAAGGGTGATTCTCTTTATAGATTCCTTTCCTTTGTGAATTACTTTTGGGCTTTATTCCATGGCCCCCACATTCCTTCATTCCATGGCAGTCAGGTTCGTACCTCAGATTTAAAATTACAAATGAAAGCACTCATGTCTCTCTTTGTTCCCAGTCCCAAATAAATTTGAGTTGGGCTTCGTTCCCGTTGGAACAGTTTTGATATAACCTTCTGTTAAGAATATCTTCATACTTATATACTTTATTTCATGGAACGGTATTCCTAATGCAAAATTGCAAGAGGCTGTTCGAACGGTCTGAGCATAGGCTTAATTGCATTGACCAAAGTTGAATGATATTCTTAATGCAAGGTTGCAAGAGGCTGATCGAACGGTCTAAGTACAGGCTTGCACTGATCGAAGCTGAATTCCATATATCTCTCTTATCAGACCAGATCCAAATATCAAGAGCTTTCCATAGTTTGTTTATACACAAGAATAAATTGCTGAAACCTTCCTGTACTTTCTAACAGTTGCGGTTTAGTACCCTGTTTTAAGCTAATATCACTCTATTCCTCTAAATTTTTTGACATTGTTGTATCTACATCCCCTCCATTCTCTTGAGCCGAGGGAAAATGGCAAAAAGATATATCCTGGGAAGGAGAACCCAAAATTTTGTTGAGAAAAGAAAGGGAAAAAAGTGGGGGGACATTACACTACACACTGTCATATCTATGCCGACTATCATTGTAAACCCACTATGTGGCCAAGGTCAGTGGGGAATTCACTAGGACTTGTAGTGAGTTCATACCAAATGCATAATGAGCAATTCTACATGGAGTTGGCCACATGAATCCTGTTTAGCAATTCCTTTCTGTGAGTGCCATAGTTTTTGTTAAATTATGAGTACTGAAATCATTTCTTATTGCTCTTTCTCTTATGTGTGCCATGGATGAAAACACACTTTTCAGTAGTGGCACCACAAAATGCACCAAGTGCTATAGATTTTGCTCTATAGCAATGCAAAATTGCACCTTGCCATGAGTGCAATGTTACGTTTTAGCATTGGTTTGCAAAGGGACATGAACATGATGCAAAAATGTGGGCTTCATGTTGAAATATTTACAGATTGAGGTGCATTTCACTGCACTGATCTCCAAAAATATATTTCTATACAATAGAATTTGTATTATATCTTGTGACCTGTGGAGTAAGTTCTCTGTACACAGCAGTAAACTTTAGAAGGAGTACAAACCTTATATTTTGTATTGTTTTATACGTATTTGCACTCTGTACTCGTTCCAAACTGAGCAAGGAATGAATCCCAAGGAGAAATCATCAAATGGAGCTGGGCCTTTTTAAAATATTTTCATTGTTATAATCTCTGGATGAATCATGCATCTTCCTGCAGTCCTCTGTTTATTTTCCTCAAATTTCCTTGTTCTCATCTAGTGAAAATACTATATATACTATATAGTCCAAAATGGGTTCTTGGAGAGAAAACCCCACCAAGTTTCAGAATTTTTCTTTGTCTATCTTCCTATTCGATCCCATAAAGAATAAACAGAGCAGCAAGCACTGAGATACAGACATCAAATTTGTCAAAACTTCTGAAGCGATGTGCGTGCTTGCGAGAGACAAAGAGAATAAAATGAAAAAGTTGAGTTTGGTGGGTGGCTTTTGGAATTTAGCTCGTGCACCGCCCTCACCTTACTAATGATTATTGTAGCCGTTACGCGTGAGAGAGAGAGAGAGAATCGACGGCCGCCGGCCGCCTCCACCACTTACGCAGTTCACACCTAAGTCACTGTCGGATCAATTTCAAAACCTCTTCGCTTTCGATCACTCTCACCAAATATTCTCTTTGTATTCATTCATTATTCCACTCCTCCTTAATGGCTTCTTTTTCTATTCATGAAAGCCTCGACCTTATTCCTTTTTGCATCTCTGTATATCGTCCCATCCTCCTAACAAGAGGAAAAAGAAAAAATCTCCATTTTCCTATCCTCCTCTACTGTATCCTTTCTCTGTCTGCTTGTATGAACAGACATGAAATCATCCATCTATTGTTGGAATAACTTAAAACAGAAAACATTTGTAATATGAATCTTGTTGACAAATGACGACTATATATTCATACTTATGGGCAGGATACACAGTCACAGAAAGCATTTGTGGATGATCAATTAATACATGAAAATGTTTATGATCAATTGAATGACAGAAAATTATATGTAAATGATCAGCTAAAACATTTAACATTCGTGACCCATTGGTTAGTTCAGTCTTCTTTCCAATTTGTTTCCTGAAACAACCATCCATATGGAACTTCATCTCTTGGTTTTAGGGAGGGGGTTGTGGATTAATGTTGAGCATATGGATCTTCAATTTTTATCATTTTCTTCAGCTTTTAGTTTGGTGGGGTTTAAAATACTAACCCCCCCCCCCCCCAAAAAAAAAAAAAGCAGTAAACGTACTGAAAAAAGCCGATTAGAGAAAGCAGTTGATGGGCGACTTCTGGCTTCTTGTGTTTTCAAGAAGTGCTTTTTCTTATTTTTCGTCACGGTTTTGCTCATTTAAACTTTTGTTAACACCCAGAATGCTTCTGTCGACTCTAAAACCCTCGCCCCATCTTCTTTTTCTTCTTCTTCACTTTTTCCTTTCCATCTTCACTTCTCACCACTTTAGCGATGGCAAACTACGATTTGGTTCAATTTTCAGCTATTTTTTTTCTTGTTTTTCCTTAAAAAAATTAATCTAATATTGATTCCCACGGTTCCATCTCACCCCTTATTTATTTACTTTTTATTTTAGGGGTAAAAACCCCTTTATCTTTTTGTTGTTTGTTTTGAATATTTTTTTAGTATTTCGGTGCCATGCACTATTCATAACTTCCCCCTTGACCCCTTTTTCCCAAACCAGTTTATGATTCATATATTTTCTTATTTCATTATTACAATTGAGTATGGATTAATTGATTGAACCCCCTTGCCATTAGTCGATTTTGGACCAAGCAATGTTGTTAAATAAATGCCTTTTTCAATGGAAAAAAGCACTCCAAAAACCACCTTGTCAAGAGAATTTTAAACAGTTTGGCTTCCCTCAAAGCAATGCCGTTCAAACAGTCTTTACAGCCTTACATCAGGAATATCTCTGTACTTTTATGCTTTATTTTATGGGAAGATATTCTCGATGCAAACAGTGTAAGCACGGGTTTGCCTCGACCAAAGCCGATCTCCTAAAAAGCCCTTTAAAAGCAAAAAAAAAAAAAAAAAACCCACCAAATGCAGCCTTAATCCTTGTTCAGAGATCATTACTGTTTCTATGGATTGATTATATGGTAGTGCGTCTGCAGAGGAAAAAATGAAAGGAAAAGTATATAAAGAAACGGTGACAAGTACAAAACTAAAATTAACTAGTATAAAAACAAAGTATGGTGGAGAGTGCAGTACATAGCCAATAGTCATCAGTTTTCTTTTCTCACTAGCTATCATACTTTTCATCTCTTTCTCTTTATGCAGTTTTAAATTTCTTGGAAGTATATATATAATAAATAATTTTGCTTTGCACATCATTCATTAATAGTCCAGTGGTTCAGCACTGTTCTATGTCGTTCTCCAGTACTGATCGCGGTACGCCATCCAACAAGCAGAAGACTGGTGGAATAGTAAGCGTCTCGGAAGCGCCATACGCGTTCCAACAGAACGGGTCTAACACAATCTCTCCTTGAGCAGGGAGAAGCTCCACGTCCGAGAGTGTTAGATTGGTGCATGGCACAGAATCGCTGCAGGCGAAGTGCATCGGTGGACTCCGCACATCGTAGGTGCCCTTGATGTTTGTGTACGAGATGTCCGACACATAGACCGCAGAGGTCTGGTTGGCGCAGGCTCTGCTCAGGCAGTAGAACTGGTCAATTATGATGGGGTTCCTCACAGCGTCCATGTGTATGTTGCTGAACTTCACCCCAGAAACTGAACCTGATCCTCCTTGCCATGTCTTGATCCGAACTCCATTATCAGAGTGTTTTATGACTGAATTGCTCAATGTGATATTGGAGACACAGGCCCTCGAATTTCGGTTGCCTAAACTGCCAATGCTGAGAGCAGGAGAAGTACCAAGTTGGTGAATTATTAAATTCTGGGAATGAAATCCATGGGCGAGTGGTGAGTGATGAATCAAGAAGAAAAGCGATGAGTGGGGATCACCATTCATCAATACCTGATTCCATGACTGGGGCCGCAGGTGATGTTGTTTATATCTACATCATAACATCCGGACCCAATCGATATACAGTCATCACCTGGAGTGAGGTTTATATATATATATATATACTCGTTAGGTTGGTGAATGGACAGACCAAGGGAGGGAGCTTCTGATGACGTTAGAACTCTGAACATACCATTTGAGATGAGGGAATTATATATACGCACGGAGTCTGTGTTCTCTATATGAATTCCATCGGTGTTGGGACTCAGAGAGGGCGCCCTTATGGTAATTGTATCTACATAAACGTTCCTGCAGTTATCGAATCTGAAGTGGAACTGGGGGCTGTTCCGGATTGCAAGCCCCTGTATAGTCAAGTTGGAACTCAAGAAGAATCTCAATGCCTGCCATTAATTAGTTTTAAGATTAGATGAATGGAGTTCTTAGCATGGAATTACTGTGAATAAGTCGCCTAGCTAGAATCATGTTGAACTTACAACAGGGCTGTCACAGGGTCCAGGCAGTGTCGTTCCGTTTACTCCCTGTAACAACAACGGATGACCCATTAACTGATGAAATTGTAGGGAGTTTATATAAAGAAATCTGTCTCTCTCTTCAGTGCATTAAATTGCAGAGCTCTCTACCTTGTGGGGTTTGCAGGGAAGATTCCACCACTTTTCTCCTCTACCATCGATAAGGCCACCCCCTTGCATTGTCAATCCATTTATTCTGTAGAAGACTAGCCATTGGCGCCTACTGTTATTCTTCGGCCAAGCGTCTGGCCCATCAGGCGGCATGAGTGTGCCTTCAATCTTCTCAGTGTTCACAGAGTAGTACCAATCCCATTATCAGCATTCGTTTTCTATATAAAGCAAATGTGAGTTCAATTAAAAAAAATTTACAGTTCACAGTCATATTACCTGAAACACGAAGCCATTCTCACAAGGGCCTGTGAAAATTGTAGATTGGATCATGAAGGAGTAGCCATTGGGAACAAGCAGGGTTGCTGATTCTGCTTGACAGGCTGCATCCCATGCCATCTTAAATGCAGGTGTATCGTCTGTAACGCCATCCCCAATGGCACCAAATGAGAGCACATCGAAGACGGCGTCATTGGAATTAGACTCAGGTGGTGGAGAAGGGGGTTGTGAAATGAAGGACACTCGGTGGCCTAGCTTGCGGTTTATATGGTTTTGCAAACTTCCTTGAGCGGGAAGAAGGAAGGAAGAACAGGACGAAATGCAGAAAACTAAAACCAGTAGAAACACCCTGGCCAACTCCATGGTTGATCCTTGAATCTCACTTAACTATTAGCTGAGATGGAGAAAGAAATGGAATAAAAATTGTGGCTTTGAAATTCAAAGAACCTGACTGGAAATGGACAGGCTTTGTCAATATTAGCAACTAGAAGTTAGAACCAGAGGAGAAAGATAAATCAACCCACCACCCCATCCCCACGTTTCTGTAAGTTGAAGCACACTTTTGAGTTAAGACTTCCTCCTCTGTAAACAACTTGCAGTGAGTCAGTGACATAAAATAAGAGGGACAGTCATGGAAGCTAGAGAATCAGAGAGGTTGAAGTCACATTTATACTGCCAAGACTTAGTGGAAGAAACTCTTTTGAGGTCATTTGGAGCCTACCATTAATCCCGACCAATTTTTAATGGCGAAGACCGACCAATTCTATTGAAGCATATCTTTTTTGAGAATGTGGAGTCCGCATATGATCGTTCAGGCCAAAAAGGTGGAGTGGAGAGAAGGAATAAGAGGAGATGGTATTGAGAGGGATAGTAGTAGATCATCTCCCCATGTTCTTCCCATTAACTTCCACTTTTTTTGGTCCCAAGTCTAGTTATTACACCGCAGTAATATATTATTCCAAGCTTATTTTAAAGGAACCTTTTTCAGTTTCAGTTTGATACCAGGCCCATCTCCAAGAATCAGAACGATTGCTGACACAGAAATCAATAGAATCCTTCCGGAAGCATTTGAATCAAGCAGCCTAATCAAAGAATCTCAGTCTGATAATTACTAGTAATCATTGCAAAAACAGTTGCAATCACTATGAAGCTAGAATATCCCCGGTGAAAAATTCGGCGGCAAGCATTTTCACCGGGGATGTGAATAAATTTTTCTTTAATCAGGGCACAAGAAGGAACTCATGTTGGAATAGTCATTCTGGTTGGGCTTTCAAATATTTTAATTTTAGACTAACCTTTCACAGGTTCAGAAAAGAAATGATTTCTTTTTTCCCTTTTGCTGTTTGTCTAGTGAAGTCTGGACAGGCCACACTAGAGATGTTATATATTGAGAAGCTTGATCTACCCATCAATAATATGTGCGTGGTCGGCTTCCGCTTCAGTTTCTGTTGCTGACATCTGTTAAAGCCCACTTTGGTTTTCTTTTTGTGTGAAATGGGTTTACTTGGCTTTAAACAAAAGGTTTGATCTGAGAAGTTCAACGAAAATGGACAAAGTTTGGAATAATAGAAATATCTTGTTATTATGAAACTGTAAATGGATTCTGTAATGGATCAAAGCGATAGCAAATTTACTAGGTTTAATGAATTTGACTCGATGTTTAATTGTACTCCCATGGAATCTAGATCTCTGTTATTGTCATTTGTTTGACTAGTGCAACAAGATGTTTCAGATGGCCAAGTAAAGATGCTTTGAGCCATCAAGCAAACTTCGAATTCCAGTTCAATTAGTCCTTAAGCAATAAACTGACCTATATCAAGAGGGACGATGAAACTAGCCTTCATTGGTGGAATTCCTTTATTTAGTGTTTGCTTTGAATCAATAAGATAAATCTCCAATCCAAGGAAGTGTACGAGGATGATGTGGATAAAAAGGAAGTTAATTAGATGGTGTTCAATAGAATCTATTTGTCATGTTAGTCATCCATCCAAAATAGGAACATTTGAGAGTGAGACATTCAAGAACCTGTAATATTACCACCGATAAAAGAGATACCGATGGTACTTGATCATTGAGGGGGCGGATAAGCAACTTTTCTACCGATATCACCTTTATCATCAAGCGAGCGTCTTTTTTTTTTGGATTTTGAAAGGGGAGAAAGTTTGTCAATGGGATTTTGATTCCCATTGACCAAGAAATCTATGTTCATTTTTCAGATTTGTGGAGATCAATGAAAGTTTATTTTCCTGGGTATCACCTGGATAAGTGATACCCATCTCCTAGGTGAATAAATTAACTTTCCCATCTAGGGGAAAGTTGCCAATACTTGGATGGGACAAAAATGCCCCTTTTAATAATGTGATTTTTATAGCTAAGATGGTCATTGCCTTATTTACATGGAAAATAAAAGAACATGGGCAAATGTACTTACCCGGGTAAGTCTTTCTTGAGAAACACTTAACCAGGTAAGTGCATTTACCCGGATAAGTGACTTACCGAAAAGCGAATGGAGCACAATAGAAAAATAAAAAGTATATTTGATTTCTCATCAGCTTTGATAAATACACATAGGTACATTAGACCATACACGAAACTTTCAACAAACAGTAACGACCATAAGTAACTTATGTGATGTAAAAAAGTAACTTATCAGAAGCCTAATGATGAACCAAAAACAACAAACAGTAACTTATCAATGTGCCTCAAATACAAAATTAGTGGTTGGAAGAGTGCAACCTAGGGATGACAGTATAAGGAGAGAAAAGAAAGGATGCTCTATATCTACAAAAGACTTATCCCCAGTCCACAAAAGGAAGAGGTGGATATCCTCCCTCCGGTGGTGGCCTTAGTGATGGAGGTAAGTTACCCAACGATAATCCTGCACCTTCTCTTATGACAACCCCTGTTTATCAAATAGAAATAAATAGATTCATTAAGCTAATAACCACAGCCCTAATGGGTGTTTACAGTTATACATAAAGAAGGAAAACCCATGTAATTTTTGTTAATTGCACTCAACAGCCTGGGATTGTGAATAAATAGACAAAACATTATTGAAGTATCAGTACAGATATAACTCCAAATCTCTAATCATAATAGTCAAATTGGACAAGACAATCAATCCGTCATAAGGGTTGGAATTTTAAGTCCAAAATAAAATTTTTATCATGTGACCATGGGTTTCATAAATATTTTCCTTATACATTAAAGAAAAAAAGAAAAACAAAAAGTAAATAATCAGAAAATATTGAAACTTGAACTGCTAAAAACATCCATTTTTTGAACAGCATATCACCATTAATGCACAAAAAAGTTGAAATAATAAAGCTACTAACCTACCAGGCACACCCATGGTCACATGATAAAAAAAACGATGCTTGAATTTGTAGTGGTATTATGGAAAGATAACAAAGAACAAAAAATAATAGAGCTTCTGACCTACCATGCACACTTAATGAAAAAACCTCCCCTAGCTTCAATACATAAAGCCCATTTTGAGATTTTATGTTTTTCTTTTTCTTGGGTGGAGGGAGGATAGTTGGACTATATGATGTAGGACAGTAGGGTTCCAAGTTTCCAACAGCTTTCAGCCTTGGTGAGTTTATTATTATTATTATTTTTTGACTAAAGGTAAGGTAAAATTTTATTAATTCAGAGATAATAATACAAGAGAGTCCCCACAAAAATATATTTTGGGTTGAGACAGAATGGATTTCAAGCCATTACAAATTCCAGAAATTCTCAGAACCCAACCTAGCCCCCAATTGGGTGGTCTGAAACCCCTTGTTAGCCGAGACCCAAGACAGGAGTTTTCCAAAGACAAAAGTAATAAGATCTTCTGAATCTTTGAAAGTGTTACAGAAAATCCTTTTGTTTCTCTGTCCATATAGAGCTAATAACAGCAGCTAGAATGGTCTCCCAGATGCTTCTTGCAAGCTTTGACAGTCCCTGCAGCTCCCAGCAATTTAGCAGCTCCTTCACAGTGTTTGGCATGATCTAGCTAATATCCAGTGCTGAAAGAAAGTGATTCCAGCTTTTTGTTGAGACAGAGCAGTGGATGAACAGGTGGCTGTTGTCTTCCAGTTTTTGCCCGCATAGCACACAAACTAATTCCTGGATCTGCATACCTCTTTAACATATGTGTTTTAGTTAAGCATCTGTCTAAACATGCAGCCCGGACTAAAGCATTAACCTTTAAGGGGGCTACAGAATTCCAAACTTTAGCAGCCGGAAAATCCGCTGGACTGAGGTTAGACAAATGTCTAACAAAAGATCTGACAGAGAATCGGCCATCTGAACTCCAACTCCATACCCAACTATCTTCCAGAAGCCGATCCAGGGGCTGAAGGGAAATCAGCTCCAGAAGTTCGGTGAAGCTTTTAATCTCCCGATCTTGAAAATTCCTTTGGAAGGAAGGGCACCAGATCAAAGAACCTTCATTAATTTCATAATACTCCCAGATAAGCTGTGGGAATAGATCTGAGAGAGTGGATTGCCCACACGGCCACACCAAGGATCCTTCCAGAAAAGCAATCAATACCCTTTCCCCAGCTTGGGTCTCAATCCTCTGCTAAAGACAGGAAAAATGTCCATGATTTTTTTTCCAAATTGAACAGCCAAGAGAATTGAAAGAAGTGCTAGTGATCCATCATTCTTTTCTTTCCATTCCAAACCTCCAGATCCATTTCCCAAGAAGTGCAGTGTTAAAGTTCCTTACTTTTCTGATACCCAAACCTCCTTTATCTTTTGGTAAACACACCTGTTCCCAGCTTACCAAGTGAACTTTCTTCTTTTCCTCCCACCCCCTCCACAGAAATTCCCTTTGCAGCTTCTCAATTCTTTGGGCTATTTTCCCTGGGATAGGAAAAAGAGAAAGATAAAAAGCTAGGAGATTAGTCAGAGAACTTTTCGGAAGTGTAATCCTGCCCCCTAAGGATAAATACTTAGGGCTCGTTTGGCACGTCTTTTTGGGAAGATCTTCTGGTAGCTCTGACAGTCAAAAGACATTGAGATTTTGCATGAAGATCTGAGCAGCCCGAAACACGTTTGGCAGATGCACGTCTTCCGTGCGTCTTTCCGTGTCTTTCTGTGCGAGAATAAAATGCGAAAGACGTGAAAAATTTCATTTGGACCTTTACGAAATCAGCCCAAAATGGGCTTTTCATGTCTTTTTGGCACTCCAGCTATTGGCGGCTAGATCTTCCGCGCACCAAATGGAAATAGACCGAAAATCGGTCTGCCCGGCTTGTAAACAGTCGAAAGACCACACGGAAAGATGTACCAAACGGGCCCTTAGCCTTCCAAGAAGCCCATTTCTTTTCCAAACGCTCCAGAACTGGTTCCCAGATCAAAGCAAAAGTACATTTAACTCCAAAGAGAAGACCCAAGTACTTGGTTGGTAAGTGCCCCACTTGACAAGCTAGTCTTTCTGCTAAATCCTCAATATTTTCCACCTCTCCCACCGGAAACAAACTGCTTTTGTTCCAATTTATCTTCAGACCTGATACTACTTCAAACCAATTGAGCAGCCCAGCCAAAATCTCAATTTGATCCTCCTTTGCTTCTACAAAGCATAAGGTATCATTTGCACCAGTTCCCCACCTGGAGTCACCTCAAAACCTTTCTATAGGGCCTCCTCCCCCACTGACTTAATGAAAATAGTGAGAATTTCCATTACACGTATAAATAATAGGGAGGAAAGAGTGTCTCCCTACCAAAGTCCCTTTGAGCTTTTGAAGAAACCCATTGATTGTCCATTAACCAGAATAGAAAATTTAGGAGAGAAAATACAGACTTTTATCCAATTCCTCCATTTCTGACCAAAATTCATCTTCTCTAGAACGAAGTCCAAACATCTCCAATTAACATTCTCGTAAGCCTTTCTCCAAATCCAGCTTACAGATCACACCTGGAGAGGTTTGCATAGAACTAATTATTTCATTTGCCACCAAGACACTATTCAACATTTGGCGCCTTGGAACAAACGCAATTGGATGATTAAGCAGACAACTTACTGTCCACCAAGAAATGGGCAGGAAATCAATAAAAAAAAGAAATTTTTTTATTAAAACCCAAGAGATAGATTGCTTAGGAGAAGAAATAAGAGGGAGAGAGGGATAGGGAGAATGAGAGAGAGAATCAATATAAGACTGCAATTACATGACTTTATTTATAGACTCGATGTAAGAACTCAAATCCCTCTTTACAAACTCAATTTTTTTAAAGGTAAGGTAGTTTTATTAAAAACAAAAGAATAGATACAACAGGGTCTTCACCAGAGAAGGACCGGCCCAGGAACAGATCAGATTACAGACTCCACAGAGACCAACTCAAATTCCAGACTCCATAGGAACTGAGAACTAAGCAGCTGAGGCGCATTCAGGTGCTTGAATTCAGAGTTAGCAGACACCCAAGAGATCAGCTTGCTCACAGCCCCCTGTACCAACTCCTCTGTGCTTTTGAATTTGTTACAAAAGACTTTGTTGTTTCTCAGACCAAATGGACCAGAGAACAGCTACTGGAATAGTTCTCCACACCAATTTTCCTTTCTTCTTAAGGGCCCTAACCTTCCAATAGCACAGTGTCTTTAACAGTGTGAGCTCCGGAAAGCTCATGGCCGGATCAAAGAACTGGAATCGCCACCCATTTTTAGAGGAAATGGGCCCTCGTTTTTTATATTCGAAAAATCGACTTACTTGCTTTGATAACGACTCTGTTCTTCGCTAGGAAAGGCACCTAACTGAGATTTTGGATCCTAAGATTGGGAGAGGGATATAGGAGTTGTCTAAGCTCTATTTCACACGAAAAACAACAGAAATAGTTGTTGGAATTTCTGAAATCTGGAGAAACATGCTCTCAACTTCTCCTAAGACTGATTTTGAGGTAATGTTATTGGGTCTTAGGTACTGACTTCCCTAAGACCCTTGCCTCCCTACCCCTATTCTCAGTCTAGAAGAAGTTGAGAACAATGGCAATGGTTCTCCAATGTCTCAGAACTTCAAGCAATACAAAAAGCACAAACTTGAGCTACAGATAGGGTGAGCGGCTTACCCCTCGTATGTAACCTTGAGAGCAATATTCTAGCAATTGAATTGATCAAAAGAGTAGTTCAATGGGCTCAAATAGAGGTTTGATATGGATGAATGCTTAGGGATTTCGGGAAAATTTTGGATCTGAAACATAAATGGTGGTTTTGAAGTTTAAGGTTCAGATATCTAGAGGTTTCTCACAAATGGAAGTTTCACAGAGGTTGGGAGTGCTTCTAAGATCTCTTTTCTTCAGATCCGCACCTCAAAGGTCTCTCAAAAGCCCCCCCCCAGGTTTCCTCTCTTTGATTTTCTCCCCCTTTCCAAAGTTTGAGTTGGGTCTGTATTTATAGAGGAAGGGAGAGGAAGAGGTCTGAAAATTTGTTCAGCTACAGTACTTGGGATTCAACAGAGATTTTTTACATAAATAGGCAAAGACTTTTCAAAGAAAATGGTGCCCAATCAAGCTTTCTTCTTTGGTGAAAGGTTTTCTTCGATTTAGGGGTGGTTTTCACGGGTTTTGTACATCCAATAGGAACTTGGGGTGTGCCTATCAAGGCAGTCTCGTATTTGGGGCTGTCAGTGGCAGAAAACGTAAATTTGATTAACTTTTAAAAGTGCTTGTCTTTTCTTAGTTTTAAGTGGGGGTATCTTTGGGTTTTTGGGTCTATTAGGCTCAATTTCATTGGTCCAGGTGTTTGAACGTGTCAAGAATGGGTCTGGCATCAGCTATCACCCTTTTGAGGTTTCAGATTGGGATAGATGAGGTGGCAATTCAATCTGCACGTCAAAATGGCATTTTCCTAGTTTAACAGGCGAATTAGGTCATGAAATTTGATGTGCTAGGGTTTTTTAGGTCTCTGAACACAATGGTGAGGTATGATTGGTCAAATAGGGTCCGGATGATGGAGATCTATGGCTGCCACGTTCGGATCAATAATATTTACTGAAATAGAATCTTTGCTTTATGAAAAGTCAAATGGGAGAATTTTGGGTTAAAATTTGGTGAGCAGGCATTTTTGAACGTCATGAATCCAATGGAGGTGATGGATCTTTGATTAGAAGTGTAGACTAACAGATTTAGTTTGGGTCAATGGTTTATCAATTAACGAGACGACCCAAAATGAAATCTCACTTTTTAACAGTCAAATGGAGGAGTTTGGTTCTGAAATTTGACGTGCTGGGGTTTTTGAACACAATGGTGAGGTATGATCGGTCAAATGAAGACTAGGATGATGGATGATAAGCTCTAATCAATGAGATAGGATCTAGGCTTGATGGTAGATCAAACAGAGGAATTTTGTGATGAAGTTTGGTGGGTAGACACGTATTAAGGTGAGGAGTCAAGTGGATGGTTCTGATATGAGAAAGAAATGGTTAATCTAGGTTTTCTAATTCTAGTTGTGTAGGGTCATCTGAATGAAATCTTAGCACTTTTGAGGTTGGTCATTGTAGACTTGCAATGGGATTGTATCCCGTGATCTTGAGGCAATGGGTGTGTTGGATCAGGGCCATTAAAAAGGAACTTAGCGTGATGAATGTTGGATGTGTGACTAATTTATAGTTTCCTAAGTCTGTGGGCCATATTTGATTGGACATCGATGTTGATCTCGAAGTTTTCATTTGTCCTGTGGATTGTGTCAAAAGAGGAATTTTTGGCTTTGTAAAGTCTTGATTTGATCTAGTTGTGCTTCCAAGTTTTGGGGTCTAAAAGGAGGGTACAAAGAGGTAGGGTGAAGGGACTGAGCAAAAATGGGGTGCTGATAAACAGTACTTGGCATAACCCAGTAGATTCCCACAACTTTCAGGAAGTGCTCCCACACCTAAGTGGAGATTGGACAGTGGAGACAAAGGTGATCTGTAGATTCCAACTGAGACCAACAAAGCCGATGTAGTTGAACACCTCATTTTTCTAAAATAAATCTAGAAAGGCACTTATCTAGAGCCATTGTCCAAACTAGAAAATTAGATTTGGAAGGACTGATTGGATTCCAGATCTGACTGAAAGGAAAACTCATAGAACTTGAACTGCTAAGCTTGAAAGGCCAAAGATTTGATTGAGAAGCATCCATCACCATTCCATTTCCAACTCCATTCACTTCCAAGTTGATATCTATTCCCTGTCCTTGTAACAACTCCAACAACTCCATAATCTCATCCATCTCCCAATCAAACAAGTTCCTTCTAAATTGAGGGGCCCAAGTCATCCTATTTTTAGAAAAAGTGTAGGAAAATAGGGTCTGAGAGTTCTTGGATCACTGTTGAAGACTTTTGTCGTCTTAACCAAGATCTTTATGAAAGGTACCATACTTTTAACTTGTTAGGGTCGAGTTCTTTCAAGCCGGGGAGAGATGATAGGAATCAATCAGCACCCTTGAAGACTTATTCTAGAAGAAGGCCTTACAACAGGTCCTGATATGGCATAATGATGGTACTTGGGATTTGGACTGAATTGAACACCAAGGGTATTTTTGCCATTTTATAATTTTTATGTAGGGTCCAATAATAGGGTTTGATTGTGTAGTTATAGTTTGTTTATGTTTAAAATTTGAGAGTCATTGCATAAGTAGGATTATAAAGTTATTGAGTCTTCTTTGAATTGAAATAGGATATGACAGTTTAATTTGAGTCCTATTAGTATTATTGAGTCTAACAGTTTGACTCCTAATACTACTATGAGTCTAACAGTTTGACTTGTAGGATAATTATGAGTTTAGAGTCTATAAATATGTATGGACGTTTTACAAAAAGGCAATGAATTATATTGAGTTTTCTTCAGCTTATGCTAGCTATGATGAGTGATTCCCATGCCCTAGAGTGATTCTAGGCACCCTGTGAGTGATTCCAGGTATTTTCTCTCTTCTTTCTCTCCCTATTTTCTCTCTTATTCCTTCAAGAATCCATTACAACCATTACAGACATAAAACTTTGATCAAGAAGACCATTCAACATTCTCTAAAGACTAGAACTGAGCTGGTCCTACATCAGTTTGGTATCAGAGCCAAGGTTATAGGTTGTTACCATCATGGCTACACGTAGTGGAAAGAAGTACAGGGGTCAGCTAACTGATACAAAGAGATTCATTGATTTCTACCCTTTGCAAGAGAGTTGAAACCCTTGAAGCACAAGTAAAAGAACTTCAAGAAGCTAAAGAAGAAGAAATCCAGCAAGAAGCACCTCTAATTAATGAAAGGGATGGAGGACGAAACAACGGAGTTGTCCATGAAGATGATAATGGTGAAGATGAAGGGTCTGTTAATCTTAGAGGATGACAAAGAGCTACAAACTGCACAAGGGTACCACCTGCTCAAGCTAATAGAACCCAAAATACCCAAGGGATTGATCAAGAAGCATTGGTCACAAATCTATTTGATGAGATGATGGGACAAGTTGAACATGGTGGTTATGCAGATGATATAACCAAGAAGGTAAAGGTGGATGTTTCTGATTTCAAGGGAGATTTAGACCCTCAATCTTTTTCAGATTGGCTGGCTGCACTAGAGGAATATTTTGACTGGTATGACATGACTGATGATCAGAGGATCAGATTTGCATGCATGAAGCTTGGTGGTCATGCTAAAGTATGGTGGAGAATCATGGAGCAACGATTGGAGAATAGAAGTTATGGTCCTATTTCTACATGGTTAGAAATGAAGAAAAATTTGAGAGACAAGTACCTCCTAATGGCTAAAACCGACATAGCCAAATCTAGATTGTTTACATACCTATAAAGGGGACTAAATCATAGGTCAACAATCCAATAACTTGGTAGACCCACTGACCCATCACTTTATAGTTAACAAAAGCATATAGAATAAACAATTCTAATATACACTTATTGGCCTCTTTGTCTTTGTCCTTGACTCCATACAAATGACTCTGGTTTGAATCTTTCTAATTGCATTCTTTAACCAAAAAATGCATACTTTACATCTACACAATTATTATACAAATGAGACATTACACAAGCTAAAGTTGTGGTTTTATGATCATTGAATTTGCCTCTAGAAAGGTGATACAAATTTTAAGTCCTTCAAATTTCACTTTTATTAAGGCCTTATTCAAATTCCATAACTCCACTTGCATGTTTATGGACCCAAACATTGGTAACGAGCATCAAGATTAAGTAGAACATAGTTCCCCCAATTAATGGAGTAGTATAATGATTTTAACTTACCTGGAATAGAGCTTCCTACTACAGGTTGATTCCCCAGGATATAAGGCAATTGTACATTCTCCTTGAAGTTTGTTGCTACAAGATAATGAACAGAAACTTCACATAAGTTGGTGGTGAAAAAGCCACAAAGTAGATATTTTTCATCCAAATTAGCACTTTGGCTTTAGATTGGTAGAGAATGAAGGAGCGCCAATGAAAATAAATATAATTGAGGGCCATCATACTGATCAAGCCTTGTGCACCTGGGCTCTGAATGTTTTGCTTGGGATGAAAGTATTTACAAGAATCTCCAAACTGGCAGAATCCCTTCAAAGCATGACAAGAAAGGGAAAACATGTGAAGATGATGACCAGGGCAAAATTTTCCAAGCAAATGGAAATTGTCATCATCATCATTCAACCTGATGACACCCCAAACCAATCACAATTCACAACAAAGAAGCAACAATTCAGAAATAAAACCAACCTTAAACAGCAGAATTATCCAGGGCCCAAACATGTAGATTTAACACCTTTACCTAACCTCTACATATTTTATGCCATATAGTCTACAAGTAGACCATATTGAATGGTTAGATTGTCCAACTGGTTTCATTTTGGGGGTATGGACTACGGCGTTGTCAGGCATCTGGAGTATGCATTGTAGGGAGAACCATATAATTATGCATGGTTTTAAGAATGAAAATTATAAAGAACAGGTGTTGATGTAATGGTACAAGTCCATGGAAGCATTTGTTTTATTAGACATTACCCAATTATAATGCCACTCGTTCATTATTTTGAACATTCAAATTAACCACGAATATCCAAAAATCAGTCTTTTAATTAGAGTATTGAATTACATTCCTGAAGCTATTTCTTTGAACTGCACAATTTTTGGATGTCTAAAATCATGACTCATTACAATTGATTAGATGGTTAGTATCGTCTAACTAACCAATGGAACATTTTCCAACATACAGCCTACAGCCTGGGCGGGATGAACATTAAGAATAAAAAATGCACTATAACTGAAATCGCCTGTCATATTATTTACAGTGTTCTTGGTATCCTTTATTTCTCGCCAAGGCCTAAATACTATAAGGTACCTTGATAGATTTGGTGGAACAATTTGATATTTTGAATTATCCAAGAAAGCCCAAAATTCACTGAAGAGCTTAAGATTGCCGTGAGAAATTAACAGAAAGCTCTCAAAACAAAGAAAGGGTAAAGGAGTGGGGATAACAATACAGACATACCGTCCTCATGAAATGGTTGCAGACTCCTTTTCCGTAGCCCTCTGCTTGAACCAGACTCGGATCTAAACCGAGGAAACGAAGATAACATTACGAAAAGACAGAGAACCAAGGGCATCTTTCATGAATCGTGGTTGGTATAGATTCAAGTGCAGAGAGAGATTAGGGTTTGAATAAGAAGAAGAAGAATTACCTCTCAGAGAATCGTACCAGAGAGCTCTGGCTCTTTGGTGTTGTACGCCCTGGAGATGGCGCTTCCTAGCCGACGGTGTGTCTTGAAATTGTTTGTCGCAGTAGTCGCAGTAGTACTTCGCCAACGGCATATTTTTGCCTCTTTACACTTGCGTTTGCTTCTCGCTCCGTCTTCCAGACTCCAGACTCCAGCCGGAGGCCGGGGACGGAGACATTCTTATTTCTTTGGGAAAATTCCAATTTATAACCCTGAATTTTGGGGTAGTGTCATGTTAGTACCCGAACTTTTAAATATGTCATTATAGCATTCGAAAGTTAAAAAGTGTCAAATTCCGTTAATGGACAAGTGGAATGACACAAATACCCCTTATAGTGTGAAGAAGAGAGTATTTTTCAAAATAAAAAGTGCCCATTCGTAAATCCTTACTCTCATAAAGAGTGAATCACTATTCTCTAAAATCGTTTATGTATTGTTCGAAGTTGCAGCATTCGTCGCCTGCGGGTTCGCCTGTGAAATCTTTATCAAAAAGGACTTAGATGGTGTTTCTCGTCATTGTTGACGATCAAGATAAGACAAGACCCTTGTAGACGAGAGCTTTCAGCCCATTTCCAACCATTTAATAGAGGAGACAACCTTTGATACTACTGCCGTCGCTGGAGAAGACAAACGAATATTGCCGTCGACGGAGAAGAAAGGTCACTTTGAAGATGACATTTTCCCTTTTTTTTATCATTTTCTTATTCGTAATATGAGATACGAAAAAAAACCCAAAATGTTTGAGCAAGCATCAAGTTCACATAGTTAGACCAACAATCATTAATATGCTCCAGAGTAAACAGGTTCAAAGATGAAACTTGACTTCACATAGACCAACAATCACGGTAACTTTTCTAAGAACTTTCAAAGCATGTCAGTTTTTTTGGCCATCCACTTATCAAAGTTAACAGGTTTGAATTTGGCCATCCACTTATCGGAGAAACTTGGTAACCATGTCTACTTATTAGAGAATTTGGCCATCCACTTATCAAATTAGGTAACTTATCTTTAAGACTCTCCACTCAAAAAAAATTAAAATTAATTTAGAAAAAGGAAAATCAGAATTCTGAAAAGAACTTCTCAAAAGAAGCATACCTTTTGAGGCACCTTACATGCATCAACAACAATTAGAACTGTTTTTTCCAACCTGTTCTATTTAAAGCCAGCTCCACAAAGTCCACAATTGAAAGTGTTTTTGCAGTTTCTCTTCACTTAGTTTAGGTTCACAGACCCAAGACTATACTTATACAGCTTTTTTTATTTTTAAAATCTAACTTCATTTGCAGCATGGATACTTGGTAACCATGTCTACTAGTTCTTTTAGTTTCTCATGAAAAAAGTTTTAGGTATTCTGGTGATACTAAATGTTGCATTGTAGCATAATTAAGGGAGATTCATGTATTTCATTTGGTTCTTCAACTCTATGGCTTACTAAAGCTTATCTGCATTAATTATTTATCAAAAAAAAAGTTGAGCTGCATTAAATGGTTCTAATGTCCCTAGAGTGCATTGACAGGCAGCTTAGCTTAACAAGTGCCAGTTGTTTTCTAGGATGCTTGATATTTTTTCAAGAATCCTGAAAATGTTACAAGCTATGGATCCACATGATAAGTTATTATTCATAATGAATTATTGCATATTGTACCCTTTTTATCTACAGTCAAATTTATTAAATTTTCTTATTGTTAAGTACCTTCTAGTTATAGACTGTAATCATTATTCCCTAATAAACCAACAAAAAACCAATCTATCCTTTCTGTTTTCCCTAATAAACTTAAATTGCACATGGTAATTACTTTCAATACAAATGTTCGCATGCAGCAACTTCCTGGAATATTTAATTAGAAATTCTTTGATAAGTGGTTTGGTGCAACCAATATTTTGTCTTGGCTTTGCATTTTTTTTTCTAAAAATGACTGTCTGAGATTCACTATTTTAGTCTTAACTTGCTTTTAGGTAGCAAAGTTAAAATGTAACGTATTTACATAAAGTTAGCAAACACTTCCTGTTCCTTCAAATAACATTAAGTTATTTGAAACTTAGTGCTAATCTATCAAGTTAAGGTTACTAAATGAAAGAGTTATAAGTGCAAATGCATTGTTGTGGGGCAGGTTGGATCTGTGATTTGGGTAGGGATAATACTACTATAATGGCAAAGATTATAGCCTTAATGCAAAGATTGTGGTTAAATGGTGACGGTGAAGAATATGGACCATGGGAGATGAAGCATCACATAAGAGAAGCCAAAACTGTTGAAAAAAGTAAGAAAATGACATTGAATTTAGTTTTCTGATAATCTGTTCAACAGTGCTAGAAAATATAATTTGTACTTGATTATTCAGATTAATAATCTATTTTGCGTTTAATTGCATGATGTTGGAGTAATGGTCTAATGGTTGGAATTCAACTTGGAACTAGAGGTGGCAACGAGCCGAGCTTTTCATGAGCTATTTAAGCTTGTCTTGTGAAAAGCTCGGCTTCAACCGAGCTCGAGTTCGAGCTTGAGCCCAATTCAATGACTTGATTATTAAATGAGTCGATAGAAAATAATATATATAATAAAAATATTATAATTCTTAATTTTTAAAATCTAAAATAAAAAAATTTATATATAATTTTTTTTTATAAAATATTTTTTTCTCAAAATCGAGCTCAAGCCAAGCTGAGCTCGAGCTCAAGGTTCTGGCTAGAACCGAGCTTGAGTGCCTTATAGAATAGTCTCGAGCCGAGCTCGAGCCTAGTACTATTCGGCTCGACTCCGCTTGAATCCACCCCTACTTGGAACTATTCTGGAATTCAAGATTGGTGATTGGGGGGTATAGGTAGGGTGTTAAGGCTAGGGAGGTTGATTAGTCTCCAAAGGTCCGAAAATGGTGACGGGAAAGAGAAAGGACGTGGGGAAGAGAGAAGAAGATAGGAGAGAAGGGAGTTGCTCTCTTTGTGAGAAACCCTAGGTCAAAATCATTATTGTGTTGTCTCCCCTAGGGAATAATTGCTCTCCCCTTTTTATAGAGAGAAAGGGGAGACTATATAAGGAGAATGAGTTAAAAGGAGACCTTTCCTATAGGAAAGGAGATTTTTCCTTTATGTTTGACCATTAAAGGAGCATTATTGGGCTTTTGCCACATGTTCGGTGAAACCTTTGAAGACAGGGTTTCCTTTCCCTTAAGATTCTTTATGTATGCTACTTCTTTTGAGGCCCTTTTATGTTGACGTGGGGTAAGTGACATCATCATTCAGCGGGTGCACTTTTAGTAAACCCACACATGTAATTTAAAGACGCACGTGTGATTGGCTTTTATTCTCGATCTACTGTAGTTGCGTGATTCTGTAATGATCTCGGGTTCATCTATAGCACGCGCCCTATAGATCACTGCAGATTTGTGCATATCTAAGCTTTACCATAGATTTATGTATGTCTAAGGTTTATCGCGGATTCGCGCTAGCCGAAGTTTATCGCTACCTATTTCAAGTATGAGTTCATCGTAGATTTGCGATGAGTTATAAAGTCATCGCAAACATATGATGGGTTATGGATTCATTACAGGCATCCATGTAGTGTTGGTTTGACACCTTCGGTACTCTAATGGTCTTATTGACCACTACGTACCTACATTAGCCCCCTAATAAGCATTTTTGTCATCATGTTTGCTTCGGGGTTTTCACAATGGGGTGATGAGGAACAAAATTGTAGATGTTGTGGCATCTTGATTTTTTTGCATTAGGTCTAATGATCGTTCCTGTTCTTGGTGAGATTCTCTATGAACTTTGCATATGGAAATTGTCAATAAGCATTGTGGCATTCAACTTAGTAATGTTCTTGGATGGGAATCGGGAGTTTTCATCTTGTCTTTTTGATAGGGTGCCGTGTTGACTCGTACTTGCTTTTTGGGTCATTGGAGTTTTTTTTTAAGATGTAAGTGACGATAAAATCATAGGAGCGTTTTGTATAGTATACCTCAATACTTTCTGTACTTTAGCCCCCTTGTTTCTTGATAGAAGTCATTGTATCAAGAAACAAGTAAAATAAATAGTTGGCTATTTTAATGGTCCGCCCCCCTGTATCTTGATAGAATGTCTTTTATCGCAAAACACTTAAGTGAGGTTTGCTAAGTGTGTGACCTTTGTCGTTCCCCCTATGTGAGTGAGAGGGTATTGCATGGGTGTTTTGCAGGTAGAGTACCCAACTACCTTTCGCTTAATAGAAGGCATTGCTAGTATTGCATCGGGTGTCTAAAATATAGGACGAAGGAAAGCTCCCCATTTATTGTGCGAGATTTTGGAACATGCTAACATTGATGTGATTTGAGCAACATATTGATATTTTTGTGATAATATCATGGATCGTGTAGTGATATGGTGTACATTTGGGAAGGCTACATGCCATCGCATATGCGAAAGTCGAATGATATCACAACTTAGGTTTAGTTGCTATTTTATTTGAGAGAGAATAGATATCATCATGAGAGGTAAATATCATAGCAAAAAGGAAAATTGAAGTTCGTTATACTTCGAAAAGCTAAGTGTCGACATATCTTATCACATTTCAACGCATCCCCAAGTAACTTTGTTCATACTCGGATAAGATTTGAACATTATTTCGGGACTTAGGTGTCATCAGTCATGAAAAGGCAACAATATCCAATGAAACTTAATCATAAATAAAAGGATTTTGAATTTTAAGGGAATTGTATGATTTCATGAGATACGGTGTTCATGTTTATAGCGATCCTATATTCACTCGGAAATGAGAGGATTAAAGCTTCGAAGGAAAACATTATCGTAACTCTTTGTGCCAACGAAACAAATCGTGCGTACTCCTTAGTTTGGAAATTCAGTGCGAGCGTCAAAATAAGATTCGATCATTTAAAGTTGGGTGTTTTGTGAACTTTTATTGCAATCGAGTACCACTATGATTGGAATGTAATCGTGAATGGGTATTGACATAAGTATAATTCAAACTTTAATCGCAAACCGCCGGAGGAAGGAATCGAGTGTTGTATCGATTCCCAAAATAACATCTAATGTGAAAGGGTATTATAGTAATCATAACATAATTAATTAGGGAGGTTGAGCCTTTGTATAGGCAGATGCGGCTTTTTACACATGCGCGGGGTAGATATCTTCCCACCTTAGGAAAGACCCTTCGTGCAATACGGCTAGAACTTAGTTGGGGCTTAGTCATAACTAA